CTTCCCTCTCACTACCTCTATCTATGGCTACCTGGCCAGACTGTCTCTCTCTCCTCACTTGCAGCATTAAGACTGCGTAGAGCGCAGCTTAAGGGCAAGACACACAGCTCCAGTGCAAGGCAGAATGTACAATTAGTAGACTGGGAGCAATAATAACTCCCTTTGGCCGGCCTCGGTTGGCGACTGGGATGCAGCCACTGTCTGAGGACAGCGTTGATCCAGTAGGTCGACATGCATCTGGACTCTTTACCAAGGCCATTGAACATGTGTGATCTATGGGAGAAATCACTTTCTGGACAATCTCTGACTCTTTGGCTTCTGAGCCCGGGTAGGGGCATACCGTTGATTTTCGCAGGGCCAGAGAACTCGCTTCTAGGCTGTTTGCGTCCACAAGGCCTACTTGACCCCAGTTCCACCGGTCTTAAGGACCTCTCCAGACGGGTACAGGACACCACAGACATTAGGGACCATAGGGCTGGACACAAACATCATAGGCCACCTTTCATTTGACTAAGGCCCTTCTTCCCGAATCTAGGGCCAACACAGAGCCTTGTGAACCCCTATAGATCAGACTCAGACGCTGGAGAATTTGTTCTTGTGCTGGGGCTAGGAGTTCCCTGCAACTGTCCTTAGAGACATCCGTTAAGATTGGAAAGATTCAGAGAAGAATAGCATGGCCCTGCGCACAGATGACAAACATAATACTGAGAAATGGTCCAAATTACCAAAACGAAACAAAACAAAACAAAACAAAAAAAGACTACTTATCATTGTACATCATGAAAGAATTATACATTATGGTCCAATTCATTCTATTTAAAAACAAAAAACAAAACCAAAAAGGATTTCTCTGCAACAAGGGAAAAGTTGTGCCTTGCCTTTCTCTGCCTCTTATGGTCCCAAGATGGCACTCCAATAATTGTTCGATTTGCGAACTTGGACAAGCATTCCGGAAATGGGAGATCAGCATGATCTGCACATGAAGTCGAGACTTACCAACTGTCGCTTTTGCGAGTAACCCAGCTCCTGAAAGGAGGGCAACATGCCCTTCCCACCAATGGCATCAATCACATCCGCTGCAATCTTGGGACCCAAGGAAGTTGGCATTTTCAAGCTGAGGCGCACTCTACATGAGCTTTCCACAGACTGCAACATTTTTTTTCAGAGGCACCAAGTTAGAACAGACTGTGCTGCACATTCAAATGCTACACTTTGGCACACGGCGCGTTTTAGAAAAACAACAAGGGGAAAAAAAAAGAAACAGATCAACGCAGTACATAAGAAAGCATTCTCAGAACATACTCACACTCTGACTTTGGTTGATGTATCGGACTGCATTTCTGGTCAGGGACAGATGTATCTGTTCGTAATTACAACCACTACTGTAGTCAGTTGAAAAGCGACATCCAGCGATACTACTATCATGCAAATGAGCAATTATCGTCACCACAATTTCTTGTGTCAGCACCAATCCATCATTTTGAAATCCCTCCATCTCATTATTGCTCCTCTCAGTCTGTGTTTGCATGTCTGACATGCAGGCAAAGCAACAAACGTCTTCATAGGCCTTCGTTAGCTCGAACTGCCTTCAAAAAAATTTTCACCAACTCATCAGGATGGATGGACTTACTCGGCATCATTCGCATCACCTGCAGTCACACCAGCCCTTCGGCTTGCAGCAGTGCTCAAGGAGGAGGATGTGCCTCTCCACCCTGTTGCCCATCCCATTCCTTGACTTGCTGGATACATACTTCACCATTTTACAGCTGTTGACTGCCTGCCTCAGAGAGCTTCGCATTTGATCCCTTGCCCCTTCAGGATGGGAATACAAGGTTTTGCAGAAAGGGGCCAGCGAGCGGCCTAGCTCAGTTGGTTTCACACGCAAGTGGCATTCACGAGAGGTCGTGGGTTCAGTTCCCCCCGGCCACCTGCAGCGTGCTTGGTGCTCGCCAGCCAAGATAGTTGGCTTGCCATCCCTAGTTGGTCTTGGTAGGGTCCCGGGTTCTCCCAGGAGGCCTTCACCTCTGCCAGTCCTACCGTCTTCACCCGAATAGAACACCCGGTCATTATAGCTGTATGTGAACTGAAAATTGCACCAGATACGGGTATAATGACCAGGCGTTCTATTCAGGTGAAGACGGTAGCTGGGGGTTAGTTCATATGGCCGGCAGACTTTGGGGGTTGCCCCTGCTTGGTAAAAATGTATCTCTGGATAGCCCCTGCTTGGTAGATGTAGCACTGCACTGGCTAGGTAGATGTGGGTAGGTAGTGTAAGGGATACTTGAGAGAAGAATATAGCTTCGTTTAAAAAAAAAAAAAAAAAAAAGGTTGTGCGGAAAGGAGCTGTGTGCGTTCTCAATGATCACCACAGGAATCCCTTCCGCCCCCCCCCCGGTCCATCGATATCATGTTTCAAACAGCTTTACCATGCGATAGTCGAAAAATGATAACCATGTTGTTTTGGTATAAAGGCCATGTCACTGATGTATTTTGAGTGGGTTCAAGGCCTCCCAGATGTGTGTACTTGAGTGCAGAATGTGTTATTGTCATCTTTCCTCTTAGTGCTGCTGATCCGCATGCATTCAGCAATTCTGCAAAGGCAACAAGAGGGGAGCGAAGGAAAAGGGATGGAGGGGAGAAAAAAGAAGGGAGAAGAGGGGAGAGATAATAGAGGACCCATTAGACCCTGAATATTCACTGATACAACAGAATGCCAGAAATTTTCGTTATTGTCATCTTTCCTCTTAGTGCTGCTGATCCGCATGCATTCAGCAATTCTGCACAGCCAACAAGAGGGGAGCGAAGGAAACGGGATGGAGGGGAGAAAAAAGAAGGGAGAAGAGGGGAGAGATAATAGAGGACCCATTAGACCCTGAATATTCACCGATACAACAGAATGCCAGAAGTTTTTGTTTTCGGCATCAGCCACGGTGGAGCAGGTATTGCCTATGGAGAATGACCACCTGCACAGGCCAGGCAATAGTGGTTCAGAAGTGGCATGAGGAACCATACCAATGCTTGCAGTTAGTTACACAGTCAATATGACAAAATGGGGTGACAGTGTAACAGGGACAGACAGATATCAGACACAACCAGAACACGGGTGGAGCGATTGTGTTTTCGTAGGCACTGCGATTCCATCCGCTCTCCACACCCTCACAGTGCTCGCTACGTAGCAAATGCTGAACACGTGTTAACCGAACATCCATCAGTCAACGACAAAGCAGATTTCAGTAGGGCGTCGAGCGGTCATTCCAAAGACCAAGTGAGCGGAGAGTTTTTCAGGCTTGTGCCGCCAACATAGGCTATCTATGGACGGGTGATGGCAGGGTTGGCGCCAAAATAAGGATGCTCAGCTATTGCATAATAATAATAATCTGATCTACCTCTGCTCGCCCTGGGTGTGATAAGCTTTCAGTATGCTGCAGTGCAGGGGTTCATGTGGCAGTCTGTTTCCTACCTCAGGTTCTGTTTATGCTCTTCACCAGGTTACGGTAGGGAGGAGGAAGATCCATCACACGTGCAATCGGACGAAGCCCAGCATTGCATGCAAGGGGGGGCATAAGCAAAGAGGGTGTGGCAGATGATGACAGCTCGTGGTTCTTCTGTGTGTGCAATCGTTTGTTGCAATCTGTGCGCTACAGAATTTTGCACTGCAAACTTGAACATGAGAGTGATATTCAGTAAGCGAATTGAACACGTCTCTATGCAGAGTGAGATGGAAGCACACTGCATAGAGTGACAGGTCGGTGCACATTCGCGCACGCACACACACACACACACACACACACACACACACACACACATGTATACACTGTACAGTACTATACGCGTAGCACATGCACACAAACAAAAAGACAAGCAATGGAAGTCCTCCGACCTCGCATGGATAAGAAAGTAAACCAGAGGAGAGACACTGTTACATCTTCGACGCCACACGGGTCCTACCGGACCCGACTTAGGGCCAGAGGGACACAGTAGGGCCTAAAGGCCCGACCTTGGGGGACTACAGGCCGTAAAGGCCTCATCTTGGACCAGACCCGACGGGCAGGCCCAAACGACATTACCGTTTGGGCCTGGCGGCGCTCTTGAGGCTGCCGCCCGCCGGTTGGGGCTGAACCGTCMATCTGGACGGTTCAGGGCACGGCCAGGCCTCGCAGCATTGAGGCCGGCCTCTGCCCCACCGGTATAAAGAACCGGTCCAGCCTCATTCCAGGGATCGACCCACCGGCACTCTAACGGTGCGGTATGGTACGGCGCGAACAGCGCTGGCGCTATACCTAGCGCAGGAGCACGAGGAGCAGCGGCCGCAGCAGCATTAGCGCAGCAGCAGCGAGCGGAGCAGCGGCAGCGGCGACTGGGCGTATCGGCGGCCATAGCCGCCTGAGGTATCGGGAGTTGGAGGTTTCTCTCCTCCCTCCCATCGCCAGTCCCCTCTCTCTCTCTCTCCTCCTCAGCTCCCTTCTTCTTCTTCTTCTTCTTCTTCTTCTCTTCAGACT